CATGACAGAGTTGAAGTGGACTACACGTTGCAAAGGGCAGAAGTCGGAATACTTGTTTCAGCGCAGGTAACGCCATGTCCTTTGGGCCTCAGCTTCTGACAACTGGGTAAATCAAGGCTTAGCAGAAAGAACCCTTCTACCTCCTGAGGAAACTGCAGGAAACGACCTCAATGGGAGAAAAGGTAATATCGTGTGATTTCCGGCATGAGTGATCAATAACTCTTTCTAATTTAGAAGATTGTAAAGCTTAACCTTTGAGTATTTTTAATAGCAAAATTATAATGCATGCTGTGAATGCATTAAATGTTTTCAATCTGAAGAAAAAAATAGCGTTAAAAATATATATTCTTAAATATCTGAAAAATGTATATATTCACCAAAATTAAGGGAATTATTAATATGCTAACTTTATTGCTTATAAATACATAGAACTGTCCTACAGGAATATGGATGTAGATGCCCACGGCTATTTGGAATTCTACTACAGGCTAATACGTAACATAGTGAGGCTGCGTTTACCAAGCACTCCCATTACCTCTGCTGCCTTATCATTGGAAACAGCATCAAGATGATCTTTTGTTTAATTTTTTAGATAAAAGTTTTATTGATATAGTCAAAAAGAAAATAACCAGATATCCAGTTATCTTTGCCAATATAATGTATCATTTTGAATAAAATCTTAAAAATGTACAACAAATAATATTTAAACAATTACTAGAAAAGTAAATCAAAAGTCTACTTAAGGCACTTTGGGTAAAAGCTAATTTCGATTTCTACAAATGCAACCCTAGTAAAGTGCAATAAATCTTCTCTCTACAGATTTTAGCCAGAATCCTACCTTTCTCTTTACAGAAGGAGAAAACTGGTACTCTTAAAGGAACCTTTCAATGACCACGACAGATTATCTGGAAGCGCACAGATTGCTGGCAGTAGAAGTCCCCTGGGCCAGCAGGACAGATCAGGGCATCCTCATACAACTCTCACTGCGCATCTCAGGCTCATAGTGGTCCTCCTGTCTCTACCTCCCTAGTGCTGGGTTTGCAGGTCTGCGTCACCATGCCTAGTCTCATTGGCCTGCACAGCATGAGGTGCCAGGGAGCAAACCCCAGTCCCTGTGCTTGCCTAAGCAGGGACTTAGTATGCTGAGCTATCTTGCTGGCCTTAGTTTTATTTTTATTAGTACCTTTGCTGGCTGGGTATAGTGGTACACTTAATCACAGCACTGAGAGGCTGAGACAAGAGGATCACAACAAATTTGGGGCTAGCCTGGGCTATGTAAGTGAATTCAGGGCCAGCCTGTCCTACGTAGTGAGATCCTGTCTCAAAACAAACAAACAAAGTGTACTTTTGCTGGCTAGGTGGATGCAATTGGCTTTACTTTTCAATGGAGCCACTTTCTGTTATTCATTATCCTGGAAAGTGGAAAGCTGTGGATTCCTTGTGTACTGTTCTTTTATTTATCTCAGGCCAAATAAATCTACCTTATGATTCTTAAGATGATCTTTTATAGAACAAACTGACCATGCATCTGATCATTGTGATAATAAAGGCATAGAAACTTGCACCCAAAATGTGCCACACTCTTGACAGTGCACAGACGGTCTCCAAAAATCCACCTCACTGCTGTTCAAATAGCAACTTAGGGGAGCCACTGTGCACCCTGGTGCTCACTCCACCAGCATTCAGCTGGAGGGTCAAGTTGAAGAAGTGTGGCTGAAATCCCTTTCATGCACACAGCCTCCCGCCCCCTTTAGCCTTTTCATCAGAAGAGAAAGGCTCCAGTGCCTTCCAGCATCTGTCTCAAGACGGGCAATGTGCCTGTGGTTTGGGAAAACTAGCCCTGGTCCCATCTCCCGCCACTGGCCATCCCAACCCAGAGGAGCAGAGTCACACTAACACCTCTGCACTGGGTCATGCCCCATTGCTCATGATGCCCAAGGATGAGAGGAACAGGGCATCAGGGGTCAGGGATAGGGGTGTGGTAAGAGGACAGAAGGGCAGTTGCTTTTATGTGACTACGCAGGAGACCACCTGCTTTGCAAAGGACTCTAGAGGACACGAGCTGCTTGAGGAGCTCTGGTCCTGTGTAACTGCCATCCTTTCTGGTCTGTGGTGGGGAAACTTGGCTCACTGTAACTTACAGACCACCGCTAGGCAAGCTTCTGTGCAGAGAGGGAAATCTGGGTCACAGCAAGATTAGATATTGCTATGAGAATACCGGAGTTGGATGACAGAGATACCACTTTCTTTTTAAGTTATTTTCAAAATGCTATTCAAGAAATCCTTCTCCTCCCTATTTGGGGGTCATTTGCTCCCAGGAAAATCTCATAATTAAAGCCAACCATATAAACAGAATTACAATAACTCGTAGTTTTCACTCAGTAAGTCCCTGACAGGATTTCTCCAGTAACATTTCAAGTTGTTCCACAAACACTTCCATCAGGTCAGTACTTGCATGCAGAATTTTTAGATGGCTTTCTTGTTTTTCCTTCTCTCAGTTGTGAGGAATGGCCACATCCCCAGGGGTTCTCTGTGTCCGTGAGGACCCTGCCGCCTCGTCCTGCCACACATTGCCGAGACTCGCCGTCAAGTCTCAGATCCCCCAAAGAGCAGGAGTCACTGTGGTGCTGTTACCTAGTGCGGTGGTGCTGGGCAGACTGGGAGCATCCTCTGTGTGCATGTGCATGCGTGTGCATGTGCATGTGTGTGCATGTGTGTGTAGCAGAGGTTGTTACCATGTATTATGCCTGCTTGGAGATAAGAAGTAGCCCGTAGTGGTGCACAGTCAACCATGAGATTTGTGAGATTGGCATTTCAAGACCTTCTTCAAGCTGAATTGAATGAGGCTTTTTTTCCTGGACATCATTATAAAGCTGGGCATTCACATGAGGTGTCCAAGGAATGAAAAGAGACAATTTAGTTCCTAGAGGAAAAAGAAAAGTGGACTTAATCTGCTCACAACTTCCGATTAGAACTGCAAATGTTTCCTCGGTGTGAATGTGGCTTTCCACCTAGAATTCATCTCAGGTCTCTGAGCTTTTTGTGAGCTTCCCTGATGCTGTGTTTGGGATGCAAAGGGCACTGAAGCAGCCTGGAGAGGTAAAGAGCCCAGAACCAGATGTCCCAAAGTGGAGAGCTGCATGGGGCACCCTTAGTACAGATTAGCTTTGTTAAGATTTTTAAGTCTAAAATAGAATGCCATTTTTATTCATAGACATTAACAAAAATGTGTATTAGATAAGATTTAGTTCCACTCATCCTGGGGAGGTGGGAGAGAACTCACAAGAGTGAATGGGCAGCTGAGCTCCGTATTGGGAGACAGTGAGGGAGGCCCTGCTGGGAGCTGCCCTCACGGTAACCAAGACCTATCACCAGCGAAGTTTAGAGGAAGACCAATAAACTGGTGCTAGAATCTCACTTTTGTATTCAATTCTGTTGATTAGGCTTTACTGACTCTTTAACTTATTGTCATTGCGATTCTTGAATTTTACGAAGTTTAGTATGAGAGTCATGATAAAGGACAACCAGCTAGACTCCAGTCTCACATAATCGTATGTTTGAGAGTAAGAGTCTCACCAACTCATGTTAAATAAATTTTAAATGTTTGTCTGAAAGGCAAGAGTGCTGAGCATCCTGTGTTTCTGTTTCCTGATTCAGGTAGCCCTAACTGGTGAGGTTAAGGCCTTAAGCCTGTGATGGAGAAGCAAAAATCACAGCCTGTGCCTGGACTTCCTATGTTCTGGACTCTGATTCTGAAGTAAGCAGACATTTGATTCCAAGTCACAAGGGCCACTGTTGCAGGAGAACATTTTTCTACAGGTACGTTTGTTTTTCCTTTCCTCTTTAAAAATCTTTAATCCACTTTGTAAGAGTAAGAAAGGAATGCCCCTTCCTACATGCAGCCAGTTTCTCTCTTGCTCCTGTACACCAGCCCACTGTGCTGAGCTGAGTCCTGGCCTCACTTAGGGAAAGGTGTGGTGTGCGGCGCAGCCATGTGGCATGCTAAACTCTTTGCTCTTGGTCCCGTGGTGACATAGCTCTAGGCTGACACCAGAGGTGATGCACTACATTCCTTTACTGTCTCGAGGGGACACAGATCCAAGGTAACATCTACAGTGGCTGAATGCTTCCTCCTACACATCTCTTGGTGACTTGGATCCAAGACACCAGTACCTTTTCCTTCCTTCACCTGATGTCCAAATCCATAGCACTAATGAGGAGCACTAAGGGAATCATCCCAGCATTGTCAGAGCTGCTTTGTATAGTTTAATTCTAGCAGCTGTCTGCAGAAACATCTAGAGAATAAATAAACTATGAGATAAATTATCAGGTAATGCTATGGTACCAACCTAGATACCAGCACCCAGAAACAAAAAGGGAAAACCAGGGAAGGTTCAGTGCACGAGCACCTGTGAGTATCCTAGCCCTTCACTGCCGGAGTTGTTCATTTTACTCATCTTCAGCCATTTAATTAGAGAAGCAACCAACCTCTGCTCCAGCCGGAATTCACTTAGGTCTCCTAGGACTCTGAGAAATGGTGAAGGGACATGAAAGGGGGAAAATGTAAGGAGAAATTGTGCTTTTGTAATGGCTTTGTAGTTACTTTCTGGACCCTTATAGCCATGAGAGCATAACCAAACATGCAGGATGCCTGATTGTACCATCTTACCAAGCTAAATAAACTGGTGGTCATTAATCTAGCCTTGTGACAAATGATCTCACCCTGGTAGCTAATCAGAAATACTTTCAGACTTCTCTGCCTCCCCTTTGTACCTCTTGCTTGTGCATCATAGAAAAGCCCTAAACCACTACAGATCATGGCCTGGAATTCTGGAAATGACATAATTCCTTTTGCTTTTATCTCATATTCTAGCCTGGAAATTTTCACTGCAACCAGTAATGCTGTGCAGTCTCATCTCCACAGCAGGATCTTCGCCCCACTGATTGTGCCAGGTCTCACTTTTCTTCTACATCCCTGCACCCTGAAGCTTCCACTAGCCATGTCAGTGAGAAACACAACTTCTTCCTCCGACTTCACACTTCTGGGGCTTTTGGTGAGCGGTGAAGCTATTGGTGTTGTATTCACAGTCATCTTTGCTATCTTCATAGTGGCCATAACAGCAAACTTGGTCATGATATTCCTGATTCAGGTGGACCCCCAGCTCCATACCCCCATGTACTTCCTGCTCAGCCAGCTCTCTGTCATGGACACCCTCTTCATTTGCACCACTGTCCCAAAGCTCCTGGTGGACATGGTGTCCACAGAGAAGACCATTTCTTTTGTGGCCTGTGGCATCCAAATCTTCCTCTACCTGACCATGATTGGGTCAGAGTTCTTCCTGCTGGGGCTCATGGCCTACGACCGCTACGTGGCTGTCTGCAACCCTCTCAGGTATCCGGTTCTGATGAACCGCAAGGTGTGCCTTCTGCTGGCCTCTGGTGCCTGGTTTGGTGGCTCTCTTGACGGTTTTCTGCTCACCCCCATCACCATGAATGTCCCCTACTGTGGCTCCCGCAGTATCAACCACTTCTTCTGTGAGATCCCCGCAGTGCTCAAGCTTGCCTGCGCAGACACGGCCTTGTACAAGACCCTGATGTACATCTGCTGTGTGCTCATGCTGCTCATCCCCATCTCCATCATCTCCACCTCTTACTCCCTCATCTTGTTGACTGTCCACCGCATGCGCTCTGCGGAGGGCCGCAAGAAGGCCTTCACCACTTGCTCATCCCACCTGACTGTTGTCAGCATTTTCTACGGGGCTGCTTTCTACACATATGTGCTTCCCCAGTCATTCCACACTCCCGAGCAGGACAAGGTGGTGTCAGCCTTCTATACCATTGTCACTCCCATGCTTAACCCACTCATCTACAGCCTTAGAAACAAGGATGTCATGGGTGCACTGAGGAGGGTATTTGCACGGTGCTCTTCAGCTCAGAAAGTAGGAACAGGCAGCAGCTAGAGATTCTACAACAGGATAGTCTTCCCAAGAGGCTCTCAGGGACTTCTGGCCCACCTGAGGCCATTTGGTCAGCTGTCTGTGGGCTATTAAGAGGACTCATTTCATTTGGATTCTTTCTCTTAAAGGTGGAAGAATGTCTCAGTAGCTGCATATAGACCGAGAGCAAATTATCAAAAACAGTTTATTACTAAGTTGAACTATTCATCAGCTCTTGGCTCCTGTTTCTAAAGGAAAAACTCAACTAGCAGAATTCACAGCAACCGTTTCCCCAGTAACTAGGTCTCCCTCAAAGTTATTCTCTGTTGAACAAATCAACAACAAAAAAGTAATAAACAGTTACCAAATTTTGGGTGCTAAATATTCTGTGGTCACTTTATATGAACAAAGTAAAGGACAAAAGAGGGGAATCACACAATTTGATCATCTTTTTATTAGGAATTGATAGTAATGAACTGTCATTCTCTGATCACTTTGGAATCTGTACAGCCGCTGCCAACAAATACTCAGCCATAATAAGCAGTGCTGAATGGAGCCAACTATGAATGAGCATCAAGTTCCACAAATGCACAGGGGGGAATAGGTTGTAATGTTTAACATCCTAAAAAACCTACTGCATCCTTCCTTGAGGGTCTGACAACAACAAGATATGCACCCAAGCCCAGAAACTTCAAGTTCCCCAGTTCCATGTGAGACAAGAGCACAGGGAGGTTCTGTGCATCCATTCTGAGTGTGGTGGGAAGAACTGCCATAGAGCGCTCTGTAGAGATGGGGCATGATAAGATGCACATAATTAAGGAATCCCTCTCTATGCCATGGGGAGGCAGAGAAAAAACAGGAAACAACTGTTTCTCTTCTATGAATGCTAGAAGAGAAACTGGAGTGGAGTGGAGACCAAAGAGGAGTTTGGTCAGAGATAGATAGGGAAATCCATTCACTTTTTGTTTAAGTAAGTGGACAATACAGATCTATTTCCTGAAGTCTTGGAGATTTTTGCAGTGCTTGACAAGAGAAATTGCTTATTAAGAATTGCTTTGTTGTCAAGGTAATTATTAAAGCCCTATTAATGTACAATCATATATCCAGTCAAATGGAGTCTAGATTAGAGTTCTAAACTCCAGGAAGGCATTTAGTAGTCTCCCGGGTGTAAATATGCTACAAAGACACAGACTTGGTTCAACTAGGGGGACTTTGAAAGTTAGTTGAGATCATTTACTTACTAGAAAATGTTCCAGACCATCTTCAAGCAACTGGGGCCAAGCGGGAATTAAAAGGGCAGGTGATGAGTTTGATGAGGTAAGACCATGCTCAGACAGACAACAAAGTAGCTCAGAAGGATGGTACAATCAACTGATACAAATGCAGTGTGTTGTTGGAGTACAATGAGAAATGAGATGTGATGTTTCTATTTAGAAATGGGAAAACACAGAGAAAAAACAAAACCAGGCTTGAGGATCAGTGGAAGAGAATAGAAGATGCAGACTCAAACCCAAACACAGCTATCTTATCTTTGACAAATGGGTCGAACATGTTCACTGGAAGAAAGATAGCCTCTTTAATATGTGGTGCTAGGGAAACTGGCTCTCTACATTCCAAAGACTAAAACTTGACCCATATCTATCCCCATGCACTAAATTAAAGTGTAAATTGATGAAAGATCTAAATATTAAAACAGAAACACTAAACTTATTGGAAGAGAAAATAGGTAGAAATCTCAAAGATATGGTTACCAAATTTTGGGTGTTAAATATTCTGTAGACAGAGACTTCATGGAAAAAAACAGAGACTATAAAGGTAATGTCACAAAAAATCAACAAATTGGACTTCACCTTATTAAAAATATTTTGCAGAGGAAAAGAAATCACCAGCACAGTGAAAAAAGAAAACTTCTAGTGAAAAAACATTGTATCCAGTTTCCTTCAGACAAAGGACTTATATCTAGAACACATAGAAAATTGAAAATAAATCAGATGCCTCAAATTCAAAGGCCTAATGTAAGACTTGGTATTAGAGATTAATATACACTTACATGAAAAAATGTTCAAAATCATTGTCATTCAACAGATACAAATTAAAACAACACTGGCATTCCATTCCAGAAAGAATAGCTGCCATCAACAAATCAATGGATAACAAATGCTGGAGGAGTTGTGGGGAAAAAAGAAACACTTCTCAACTGTTGATGGGAGTGGAGACTATGGTATAACTGTTGTGGAAATTAATGTGAACATTCCTCAAAACACTGAGATGAGAAATCCCATTTGACCCAGATAGTCTCCTTCTAGATATGTTGTCAGAAGAACTGAAAATATCATACCACAACAATATACATGCACCCATGTTTATAGCAGCACAATTTGTCATAGCTAGATCTTGGAAAAAACTAAATGTCCATGAACTGACGAGTGGTTCTTCCACTCTTAGTTTTTCCTTTAGCTGCTCAGAAGCCTGTAAATTTATGTAATCCTATCTGTGCATTTTCAGTATCATTTTCTGTGCTATTGAAGTTTTCTTCAGTAAGTCTTTGCCTGTGCCTATAGCTTCAAGTGTTTTCTGTGTTTACCTTCCAGGATTTCAAAGTTTCTTATTTTATATTGGATTACTAATCCATTTGACTTTAGTATAGGACAGGAGACAGGGATCTATCTTCATTTTTCTGCATATGACTCTCGAGTTTTCTCAACATCATTTCTTAAAGAAGCTGTCTTGCTCCACTGTGGTTTTAGGCTCTTTTATCAAAATCCAGGTGGCTCAGACCCAGCCCAAGCCCAGGCCAGGTGAGTGTGGAGGAGGGCTTCTGCTCTTCCTTGCGCCTGCTGGACCCCTGTGGACCCAGCTCAAGCCCGGCCTATGAGTGACAACTTCTGCTGCATTCTCAGGACCCCTCCAGACCCAGCCCAAGCCCAGAAGTGGTGAGTGTGTGGGAGAGCTTCTGTGCTCTCCTGTGCCTGCTGAACCCCTCCGGACCCAGCCCAAGCCCAGCCTGTGAGTAACAATTTCCACCCTGCTCTCAGGACCCCACCAGATCCAGCCCAAGCCCAGCTTGTGAATGACAACTTCTGCTGTGTTCTTAGGACCCCTCCAGACCTACCTAAAGGCTGGCTTGTGAGTGACAACTTCCATCGTGCTCTCGGTACCCCTTCACACCTGATCCAAGCCCAGACCCAGCCAGTGTGTGGGAGGGCTGCTGCATACCACTGCACCCACAGGACCCTTCCAGACCCAGCCCAAGCCCAGCCTGTGAGTGACAATTTCCATGGTGCTCTCAGGACCCCTCCAGAACCAGACCCAGCCCAGGCCTGACATACAGGCCTGGGGTGAAACTCTGCAGCTGAAATCCCTGCAGGGACAGTAGGGGCCAGAACCAACCAGCTAATCAAGGAGCAGAACATCTTGCCAGAAGGGAACAACAGGTTCACTTCCAAGAGCTTCAGCAGAAAGAAGCTAAGCACAGCAGCCAGACCCAAGCCAGGCATAACTAGATGAATTCAAACTTCATAGATCTGCAACTGAACATCAATAGATGTTAAGGTTATAAATATACCAAAGCTCTATAGCAAAGGTCAGAGGACAGTGCTATACAAAATGACAAAGAAAAGGAGCAAAATGTAATCTCAGGCCCAGAGCCCACCCAGAATAAGTGCAGAAGACATCAGCACAAAAAATTGGGAATCACACAGCTGAAATGTCTGAATTAATAGCATCTGAAGTAAAGAAACAACTGCAGAAAGGTATAGAGGAACTCAGATCAGAAATAACCTCTGGGGGAAAAAAAAGAAATCTCTGAATTAATAGCACTGAAGTAGAGAATCAAATGCAGAAACATATAGAGGAAATCAGATTAGAAATAATCTCCAAAGTAAAAAAAGAAAGGATAACTATAATGAAAGAATTAATAACTGCTTCTCAAGAAGACACTGATAAAAAATATAGAGATTAGAAAAATGATGGAATTCTTCAATGAGCAATATAGGAAAGAAATAGATTATGTGAAGCAAAGTCAAAGACATATAGAGGAACTAAAATCTCAATCACAAGCTTGCAAAACCATTTGAGTGAAAGTGAAGATGGAGTTTCAGATCCGAAGACACGGCTGCAGCTAGTGAAAAGATAAGAAAAGATCTCTTAAAAACAACTAGGATTCAGGAAAGAATAATTCATCATCTGAAAGATGATGCAAGGATGAACAACGTGAGACTAATAGGCATCAATAAGAAAGAAGGAGTCAATACAAATGACATTAAAAAAATATGAGCAGAAGTAATAGCAGAAAACTTCCCAAATATGGGGAAACAATCTGACATTCAAGTAACCAAAGCATACAGAACTCCAAAGAACATCAACCCAATTAAAAACACTCCAAGACATATAATAGTCAAGATCCCAGAAATCCAGCACAAAAACAATATACTGAAAGTCACTAGAGAAAAAAAAACAGATCACATCTAAAGAAAAACCCATCAGAATAATGGCAGACTTCTCTTCACAAACAATGAAGGCAAGAAGAGCATGGAGCAGAGGACTTCAAGTCCTCTATGAAAACAAATTCCAGCCCAGACTACTATACCCTGAAAAACTCTTTCAAGTTTGATGGAGAAGTGAAATACTTCCATGACAAAGAACAACTAAAGAATTTCATGATGACAAAGCCAACCCTACACAGACTACTAAAAGATGTTCTAGAGAGGGACCAAAATGATCAGGACTCCAGGAACGAGAACAGAAGGAATCTACTAAATATGGCAAACAATTAAATGCAGGAGAAAAAGGACTAAACAACAGCAGGTAAATAACATGTCAATTGTAAGTCAATACATCTCAATTCTAACCATCAATGTAAATGGATTCGATTCACCAATTAAAATCCAGGTAGCTATAGGTGCAAGTGGCCATTTGTATGTCTTGGGTTTTTTTTCCATTTTGTCTTCATTTTGTTTTTGTGGTGGTTGCTTCTTACTGGTTTTTCTTCTCCTGTCTCTGCAGTATAACTTAAAATGCAGTAT